ATGCTTTTCTATTGTGTTTCCAATTTATAGTTTTTGGAGATAAACTTGCTTTAATTCACAGATGGAATTTCAGGCAGAATTTGATCCTCTGGGAAAAATCCAGCAATATTAAACTTTAAATGATTCCAGGATGGAGGTAACTTAGGAAAACGTCTTTATTGATTTCACACATAGAAAAAGTTAAACCATCACCTGAAAAAAAGCCGACAGTTGATGAAATGAGTCGATGCAGGACTTGACGTGTCAAATCTGCTGATATTTATGAAACGTTCGTTGAACTAAAGGGGAAGTAATGAGCTCCACTAAAGCGATGAACATCCAACCTTTGGTTCAGTTCTGGCCCATTCAGTCCCGACCAAAACAAAGAGGCGTCGGATCGGTCCGTCCGCCCGCCGCCGTCCGGCCTCCGATCTCACGCCTGAGGCTGCTGCTGCTGCTCCAGCATGGCTTCACACGTCCGACCCAGTTCCCCCAGCTTCACCTTGGCGTACTCGGCTCTGTTCAGCGACATCTGGCAATCCTTCCTGGAAGAATACGTGGAGCCCTCGTGTGGCTGACCGGTAGCTACCTGTTGGGAAAAATCAACCTGGTTAAACGTTATTACTGAAAATCAGACGCGTTCAAATACTTATTTTCAGCTGCATCACGCAGATAAATAGTTAATAAATCATATATTGTTATTTCTGGAGGTTTTTTTTTAGATCATGTCTCTCAGTGGATATTTATCCCATGATGACTATTACAGATCCTGCTTGATTTCTAAGTGGGAGAACTCGCAGAATAGCAGGGTGTTCAAATACTTATTTTTTTCACTTTAACACCTTAATATGACGGATAACCAGGCCACTCCCATCTGCTCTAAATGTCAATCATCTGTTGCAAACAAACATTCACTGTTTTTGGGAATTTTAGAGCAATAGAGTCCAAGAATTAAGCGAAATCTCCTCATTTAAATTAACGAGGCATCCTGGCCTCGTCTCATTAGGTTTACCTTTAAAGACATTAGCTCTAAATAGGACAGATTTTAAACTCTGACAAACTTTTGTTCCTGGTTAGGAAGGTCTTTTAAATCTGAATTTGACTAATTATTTACTTACCATTTTTTATTAATGATTCCATCTTGTGTAATTTTCCTATTTTCCCCTATAAGGATGGATGCAGGATAATTGGTGGGTTTGGGTCCTGCTTTGCCATCCTTGTAAATATATATAGAGCACTTGTATATATATATATATATATGTTCTGTTTAAAAAAAAAAATCTATAAAATATACTTAGAAAAAAAAACATTTTATGTTCAAAATTCTAAAGAGATTATTGGTTTTCACAGCTGCTGAATGGAAAAGCTAAGAATATGGGAATGTTTAGTTCAGGTGTCGAATCCGTCAGTCATCTATCCACACCGCATGGCATCCAAGTCCCGCCCCCAAAAAAGGTTGTTTATTTTAAAAAA